GTATATTTGGTGAATATGCCAAAAGCAGTCCCTCCAGTGGTAATTTAAATCAAAATCAACCATTGATTCAAATCTTTACAAACTAGGTCCCATTTGATTTAGTAATTACAACAATGGCCCTGGTGTTATATGAATTACAAATCAGCCCCTTTCTAAATGTAAAGTATTTCAAAAACCATTCCTTTAGTTTAAATTATTATAAAACGGCATCGAAAGTATTTCAAAGATCAAGAGTGTCAAGTTACGGTTTCCCACGCCAAGCTTCTAAAAAACGAACCATATCCAAACAAATCAAACTCACGCTTCAAGGGTGAGTTTCTACGGCCTCTCTTTTACGGTTTTAATATTTGGGGGAGAATATATGCGTGTCTATTAAAGTTTTGATGATTTTCAAGTTTTATATACAAAATAGAATCATACTTTATTATTGGTCAAAAGTTTATGAAATAACAACCTAAAAAGGTGATAAATCACCAAGAAATCTATTAAGTTAAAGTAGATTGTTAAAAGATGATATATTTATACTCTACGTGAAATATGCATATCATTATAAAGAAAAATCACAAGATTATAAGTAAATTGCTATAATAACACAATTCATATTTTTGTAACTTATAATATAAAGAAAAATATTTTGTGATTATAAGTAAATTGCTATAATAACACCCCCTCCCCCATCGTTTGTGTTGCAAGACCAAAAATATTATTTGCGTATAAAATGAAAGTACATTGTCATATTTGGTAGAGAAGTCAAATTTATGAAATCGTATAATTAATAGTTAAAATTATCGAAATTTAACTTTTAATATACATAAGTTATGTAAAAATGAATGTAAAATTTATTAATATATTATATATTAATTATAAAAATATAACTAATTTTTACTACGTTATGGGTTTCTATTGCAATAAATAACATGATCGACTTAAAGTCTTAAAAGTCGTTATTTGCGAAATGTTGTACTGTATTGATCACGTAAATTATAAATATCATGAGAATTGTTGGTTTCACGTTGGTTGAAACCTGGAAAATATTATAAAAGCAGTCGTTATACTACCCAAATTTTGTCATAACAAACAATAGAAATTTGGAAATCCATTAAGTCTTACGTATCTCAAATACCAAAAGGCTTCAATCAAATATTATTCCTAAATAAAAAAATCACAAATATTCAACAATCTTATAACGGGAAGTTTAGGACTAGGATGCCTAGACACATTGTTAGGATCCAACACTCTAGGGTCTCCCTATAGGTGTCACGTTGTTTCTAAAGTCATATGAATTATGTTCGTTTCCTAAGCCATTTGGGCTATCTTCTTGGGTATACTAAGACTGTGTGTCTTGGTGAAAACCCTCTACTTTTATAACCGTTAATCTGCAAGAAACGACTAACGACAAATATAATTGTTATACTATTGATCTTATACAGTTTGACCGCCCGCCTGGAGTTGCTAGCTACAACTAACGTCTGACGTGACGAATTTATGTGTTGATGTTAGTACCATTGAACATTATCGCGTGTTATAACGGGGTGAATGACTTAAGCATGCCCTACTATGGAGCCGATGCAAAAAGTGTAGTGTCACGAGTTCGGTTATGAGTTCATTATAAAATCCCAGTTTTGTTTCATTACCGTATAGAATCGATATTGGGTTTATACGGGGTTTTTTTTTTCACTTATACTAGTTGAAAGAGACTGTATGTAGAGGGATAATTTTGACCCAAAACGATAAATGTCAATACAATAAATTAATTCATATAATATTTAATTAATATCATGACACGACTGATTAAGTTTTAATAACTTATAGTTAATAAGATATTTTTATAAACCATTTGTTATTATACGAGAATATAATATTTATGTGGGAGGAGTCTGCCCTACTGGTTAAGTGTCAGTTCCCAAATTAAGTAGATAACACTTGATTAATGCCACGACACGAGTTTACAAAATTTATAAATTGAAAACTTATAGGTTCTACATATAAACTATACCATTTCTTGTATGAAACTTCAAGAGTAAAGTTGGTTATTTTACGTTCTCACAAAGGGTAACATATATTATTTTTATATAATTTGAGATTCAAAATCTTTATATAAAAATGCATTTTTGATATAAGTCTGACTTATTTATATATATTTTTTGCCAAACTTTGTACTTTTGGATTTCAATGTGTGATATTTCTAAATGAGAACAAAATACACCTTTATAACTCACTTATTTTATACTTTTGATAGAAAAGTAAAAATTTATAAAAGTTGATCAACCAACTAAATTTTATAATGCACTTTTGGTTATAATTATACTTTGTGTCAAAACCTGTAGAACTCGCCAACAATTTTGTTGACGTATCTTAATGCATTTATTCTTAGGTCATTTAGCAGGTCGGAAGTGTTCGCTCGGAATACTCTCTGTTACTTATATTATACCTTTATAAACACCAGACTGTTAGCGTGTGTCGTGATTTAGCAATAGTCATGGTCAATGTAATTTCTATTTTGGTAATAATAGAAGATTATATTTGTACTGTTCAATGTATGTTCAGTAACTGTGACTACTAATTTATGTCACGCACCTCGTCGTTTCAGTCGGCGGCCGGGGGTGTGACATTTGATGTCCTCGTTTCTTACGCCACTATTAGTTTTGACAGAGTTGGAGTCCATGCGGACTAGATTTTTTTGGGGTTCGGATTTGGAAGAGAGAAGAATGCATTGGATTCGGTGGGATAGGGTGCTAGCTTCCACAGAAGAAGGCAATCTTGGAATTGGTAGTCTGTTTTCATTTAATCGGGCTATGCTTTTTAGATGGTGGTGGAGATTTTTTCACTCTCCTAATCTATTGTGGGTCCATCTAATCAAGGCTTTGTATGGTAAAGACGACGGGTGTACTTCCTTGAAGCCGAAGAGATCTTGGATCTGACCTTGGAATGGGATCATTCGTATGATGTATCAACTTCGTGACCAGGGGTTTGATCTCCACTCCTTGTGTCCTATTAGGGTGCGTGATGAAAGTTTTATGTCTTTTTGGCATGACGTGTGGTTAGGAGGGTTGCCCCTTGCAGTTTCGTTTCATCGGATCTATGTGTTGGACAGTTTTGGACATGTTACGGTCAGGGGTCGGTCAGGGAGAGGATTCATAATGGCTGGGGAATGGATAACTTCAAGCGGACTCCTAGAGGTGGTATTGAGCAGATTCAGTGGGATGGTTTATGTATCTTGTTGCAGGATTTACAGTTAGTTAAGGCCACTGACAGGTTGGGTTGGATTCTTGATGTTTCTGATACTTTTTCGGTTTTTTCTGCTCGCCGGTTCCTTGATGGTTGTATGCTTTTTTTAGGAGGCACGAAAACTCGTTGGAATAATCTCGTCCCTATTAAGATTAATATCTTAATATGCAGGATTACCATTGATTCGATCTTATGCCCTATTTGTTCTTTATCTGTTGATGAATCCGTTGGCCATATTTTGTTGGGTGTACCGAATTGATTGAGGTTTGGACCCGTTTGCTACTTGGTGGAATGTCCGGTGCCCGGTTTAGTTTTCTATGCAGTCTCTTGTAGACTGGTCAGATGCGGTTAACTTATGGAGTGGACAAAGGAAGGTCTTCGATACGGTCATTATGACAACTTTTTGGTGCTTGTGGAATTTTCGAAATTCCATCATTTTTGGAACGGTTATTCCTAGGAAATCTTACCTTTTGGTAATATTGTGCATAAGTCTGATTTTTGGATTTCCAATAGGTGTAGCAAGGTTAAGATAGGATGGACCATGTGGTTACATAATCCTGTTTCTACTTGTCTTGTTTTGTAATGTTTCTTTTCTAGCATCTTGCTAGTTTTTTAATAAAATTTTGTTGTTCCAAAAAAAAAAACAATTTTATAAAAACTAATCAGAAGAAGTATAAGAATAACTTCTTGTGTAAATTTCCATGTAAATATTTACTTATTAAAGCATAACGAATTATACATAAGGTCCAACATGTCTAGAAGAGCTAGTAATGTTGTGAGTTATACATACTTTTGTTTTTGAAAATAAAAACCGTAGATATTTTTAAAATAATAACGTTTATTCCTTTTAACACTTTTTGATCGTCTTATGTAGAGATTAACGCAAACAAATATTTACATGTTTTAGTTTCCCAAACATATATACGATTTATATAACAGTTGTACGGTTGGAAGAAATTAAGATTATGATATAAATCAACGGTCTGCAGGGGCGTATCTAGCAAGGGGTTAGGTAGGTCCTAGGACCTACTAAGTTCCTAATTTCATTTACAATATATATAATAAAAAAACTAGGAACTACTTTAAAAAAAAATAGAAGACCTACCTAGAGTTTGTTTTATAAAAAAATGTCTTAAAAAAAATTTAGAAGTAGGAAAATATAAGTTATTAAGGACAATTTGTTATTTTAAATTATGAGATTGATAACAAAAACTTAACTATTCTTAATCGACACTTTCAAAATATCAATAAATAAATAAATTGCTCTAATAAAAAGAAGCCCACGTGCCAAAGACTCTTACTCTCCGTTCGCCGCTTTATCAATGAACAAATAATCAACTAGTTTTTTCTTAAACCGTACGGGTTTTTCAGTTATATTTCAATCGGTTTTTAAAAATTTTAATCGGTGGCGCCGATCGTTTTTAACCAATTGAACCAGTTCAGTTTTTTTAAGGTACATGACCGACCCGACCCGACCGCCAAAAGTGTTGTTATTTTTTTATTGGCTTCACTTAATTTGGGAACCACATGATTTTTTGTTCTAGATTCGCCACTGGCGGTCTGCAATTTTGTAACTAAAAACCGCAAACCGCACTACGTAAATCCAAAATAGCATTATGCGATTCGGTTTGCTTGCGGTTTGTGTGGTTTTATGCACACCCCTACCAAACACTAAAAAATTTAAATAAAATGAAATTACATTATTTTCCAAAAACACACATATATAGATACTTCTATTTATTCATTTGTAAATCTGAAAACCAACTTCAATACACAAGTTTATGAATTCAAAGACAAGAATATAAATTCTCATATTTTCTCAATGGCTTTATTAAACAAAAAAGTTCACTAGGAAGAGTAAAATAAACAAGAACAATAATAATAAATTACAACACTATCTTACAACATTAACAATAATGATAAATTTTGTCCAAAGACAAGTACCACTAATATGATCCTTGTATTCACGTTCCACTTAAAATGTCGATCCATTAAACCCAAAAAACGATCGCTGAAACAACAAAGAATAGCCTTAGAAAGTCTGTCCTGATGAACACATAATAGGACAGGACAGGACATTGTTGTACTGTGTTAGACATGTATTGTACAGACCGATTTCCTCCTCATCTTAATTAACTAAAAATAGCCTTAGAAAGTCTGTCCAGATAAAAAAAAAATACCTCAACATCGTAAAATTTGATATAGAAACGCGAACTATTTATAGAAAGTTTTGTTTCAAGTATTTCTGCAATCGTTGAACTCAACTTTCCATTGACAGTTGAATTAAGTCCCCCTATTGAAATCACTTCACCATATGCAGCTGGCTCTTCGGTGCCACCAAATGCTATTGGCACACCACCATTCAACAAAATCATAACATACTGCCCAAATTTGACACAAATTATGTAAGTGATTAAATTTTTAAACGATTGTATTTGCACTTTTGTTTCTTTCAAATGGAAAAAATAAAAGAACTGTGTAAAAAAAATGAGGTGCAACAATGTAAGATACTTCAAGCTATTCATTGAGACATTTAAACAAACAGTTGGAGAGCATTACTTTAGGGTTGATTATGAAACTTAACTGACTCAGGCTTTCCGATGATCTTTGCGACAGCTTTAGTGGCATCCTTGAGAATGTCGGAGGCTATCACTGGGTCTATTGGGATGTTGGTGAAGAGATTCAACGTTGGCATCTTTTTCCCCTAATTTTTCTGTTGAATTTCTACAGGCCACCGTTTTCTGAAGAAGATAGAAGTTTTAAAAGAAACGGATGGCCTCAAATTCGTAGTTTAAAGATTAAGATAAATTGAGAGCCTCTTTGGTGGGTTATTTTATGTGGGCCGATCCATTTTCTTTTATATAGCCTTTTAAGCCAAATTACTAATAAACGAAATAAAAATTTATATAACTTTTCTTGGGTATCATTCATGGAGGTGGGGGACAAAAGAAGAGCAAGGTATGTGTTACGTACAACTACTTAATGTATATTGAAAAAAAAATTGAACAATTATTTTGATTTATTACTTGGCCCAAGAGTATAAGGAGAATTCATATTAACTTGATTGCTAAACATAAAATAAATCTCATACAATCATAGAACACTAGAAATTGGTATCATTGAGTTTGAAAAAGTTATTTGAATCAAAAGCACAACAGAGAAATTTGAAGCAAAGAACTTTTAGTTTCCTTTTTTGTCTTCTTAATAATATTAAAATCTTTAACGTAATAAATTCTACAACATTGGTTTCAGATTTAACTCTAATCAAATAAATATACTCATATCTACTAAAATCATAAGTAGATACGACAAAGTATCTCTCATCATTTCTCATGTTAGATCTGAACGATCCACACACATCATTGTGAATTGTCCAACAAATCCTTGCCTCTTTCACAGCTAACTGTGAACAGTGTTGTAAAACTCGCCGAATTGGCCGATTACTCCTCCGAGTACTCGCTACTCGGCTCCTTACCGAGACGAGTTACAGAATATCGGGTACTCCGTGATCAGCCCCTTACTGAACTGAGTAGTGTTGTAAAACGCGATCAACTCAGTGATTAATATGTATAATATACTTAATGATTTATTATTTAACACACATGTGATTATTGGTACATATATATCGTAAATTTCACAGTAATTATTCATGAAGTAAGACCATTATGTGTTTTTTAGCTTTTGTGAATTCACATGTATCTAATTTTGTTATATATTTCAATCAACTTATGATTTTGACATATATAATTTCCCTAAAAGTATTTCTACATGAATTACCGAATCCGAGTACTCCCCGAGTACTCCCGGGTACTCGCTACTCGGTAGTCGGCCGAACAGGTACCGAGTAACGAGTTCTACAACCTTGACTGTGAATGACATTTTTTCATATTTTCAAGCAAACAAGACTCACATACATCATCTAACTCTAAGTCAAATGATTCCAAGGTCCCATCTGACTAGAGTTTGCCGATGTGTTTTTTGTTTATATGACCAAGGGGCTGTTTGGCAGGGTCTGAATTTTTAAGATCTGAATTTTTAAGATGTCTGAATTTCTAAGAGGTCAGAATTTTTAAGATCTGAATTTTTAATATGTTGTTTGGTTGGAACCTCTGAATTGTTGTGCTGAATTATGAAAATGACCGTTTTACCCTTCTATATTAATTTTTGCTAAGTTCAAAGTTTTTGTTTATAAAATAATCGAATCAACCTCTTGAATAATTATAAGGAAAAATATAAACGCCATACACAATTCAAATTAAACATAAATCAAAATTAAACACAAATACAAATCAAATAAGGTCAAAATTCATATATTTGATCAATACCAATACTACTTGTATACATAGAATCCAAACAAAAATCAATGTGAATAAATACTTGTGTCTCAAATATGGCATAACCAGCATAATAGCTTCCTGTGTAATTATCCCATCCTTTTGTTCTTCTTGTCCCACAACATCTTCATTTTCCTCAAGTGCATTAGAAAGTGAAGAAAACCATGACTTCATTACAACTTTAATCAACCCTTTCATTGTCCAAGCAGATACATTCTCACGTCTCATTTTATTCAGCTTTTTCACATCAATAACCTTTTCCTTCTCTTATCTTCTTCTACTCTTTTTGTAGAACTTTTAAAACTTATATATCTGCTTTCAAAAAATGGAGACCTTAAAAAGGTCTAAAAGGGTCTGAAGAATATATTGATGGAAGATAAATTCTTGAATCCAATCAAAAAATATATTTACATGAATTTTAAAATCAAATAAGCAATCCCTCTAGTGATATATTTAGAGCTCTGGTTGGGTTTCTTGATGAACACATCGCTTAATTAGCATAACCCATCTGATTTCAACATATACAGTAAACAAATACAACACATGATTCCAGCTGTGATTTAAAAAAAAAAACCAACGATTCTGTGAAGTCGTACCTTTTAGGGGAAACAAAAACTTGAAATTTCAAGCCCTAATCGACATAGCACATCTGATTACATAGAGAAAGAGATTACATAAAAAGAGAAAGAGGGAGGTCGGAGACATTACCTGGATAAGTCGTCATGGGTGGAGTCGGTGTCGTTGTGGCGCAGCAATCAGAGCTGGGGCGGAGAAGATGCCGACGACAGAGCTAGAGGAGGAGAGGAGGCCGACGATTGCGATGGCAGGGAGGGAACAAAGCTTCAGTATCGGATGGAGGTGTGGCCGTGTGCGTCAATGGGAAAAAAAACTGGAGGCGTGAGAAGAAAAAAAAAAGAGCGAGAACTAGGGAGGGCAGCACACGTCTCTTTCTTTTTCAGATGCTTATTGAAGTCTGAAATTTTAAGAGACATTTATAAAATTCAAATGTATTTTATAAGAGGATACCAAACAAGCTATATCTGAATTTTTAAGAGGTTACCTCTTAATTTTTCAATTAAGAGGTAAACAAACAAGACCCAAGTCGACAATGCCACAAACATGATTTATCAAAATTATCCTTGGAAGAATCAACATTTTAGATTAAGCTAACATTTCCCTCAAACCTATAATGGTTTCATATATGCCATTGCATGGGGTTTTTTTTTTAAAATAAAGACACTTATTTTGAAAACCAAAATACTACCATTATGAATTCCAAATGTAAAAGCATCTCGGTACAATGCAAGAAAGGAAATAATGTTTCGTTCCATGTAAGGTGAATAGTAACAAACTAATAATCTAATTGAAAAACCACTAGACATAATAAGTTTGTAATCCCCATCAGTAACCACATCATTGTGAATTGTCCAACAAATCCTTGCCTCTTTCACAGCTAATTGTGAATGGCGTTTTTTTCATCTTTCATGCAAACAACGCTCACATACATCATCTAATTCTAAGTCAAATGATTCCAAGGTCCCATCTAACTAGAGTTTGTCTATATGTTTTTTGTTTATATGACCAAGTCGACAATGCCACATCATTGTGAATTATCCAACTTTTCTCTTGTTTCACATGATCAAGTCAAGCTCACCATGCCTTAGCTACCGACTTCACTTTAGTCCCTGCATATCAGACCAAATGTGAGTAACATATCCTGTGTCAAGGATCTAAGAATCAAAAGTTGAAGCAAAACGGAGTTCGGTCGTTAAAATACATGAGGTGCTAATCTTATTAGGCTTGTTCTTCTTGATGTCCCTTTTGTTGGAAGTTTAGGCAGATGGCCTCATTAGGGTCACTTATAGGTGTTATGTCAGAGTTTACCTTCTAAGGGTTTGGGTTGGACTGTCCAACTTTGCCATTTCCCTTTGTTTTGGGATGAGATGTCTTCTTGTTGGAAATAGGTATCTAATATCATAACTAGTTGGTGTAACTTTGGGAATAATAGCAAATTCTTTTTTTGGGTTGCCCTCAAGAGCAATAATAGCTAGAAATAATTTTAGAGGATTGAGAAAATAGTTTATTATTTTATTACATGATTAATAAATTAACTAGAAACTAGGTGAAATTAATTAGAATTAATTTAGAATTAATTTGGGATTAATTGGAATTAACATGGAGGTGCAAAGACTAAGTATTAATTCTCCAGTAGTTGAAAAAAGGGAACATTCTGGAACCAAAAGGTGGTGGACGATTTGGGAGGCTCCTTGGAGGCTTCCAAAATCAATACAAGTAACAGAGAAGGAATAGATTTGAATCTGGATTAAATCTTAATATATAATTGATTCAAATCAAGGTTATCTTGTCATGACAACATCTATATAAAGAGGCCTTGGGGTGCTCATATTTTCGGCTCTAATACACCTCCTGGAAGGCTGAAAAATATGATCCCACCTCTCTCTCTCATATATCTCTCTTTTAGTTTCTAGGGTTCTTGGATTTTGGGTGTGAACCATTAGAGGTACTCTACTTTGGGTACTAGTCTTTCCAAGAGCAACAAGAGATCAAAGGAATCAAGCTTTAAGCACAATTCAATTTCTCAAAAGGTTAGTGTTTCAATCCTTCCTTTTTTAGCTTGTTAGGTTAGTTTTAAAAGTACATTGCAATAATAGTAAAACTTAGATCCTAGGGTGTGTGAACACTTAGGATGAATTTTGAATGCTTCTGTTGCCTTAATCTAGTGTATAGTTGCATAGAAAAACCAACACTTCTTCATCTTGAAACCACCTTCCTTAATGGCCATAACGGGAGTAGTAGAGCTGACAATGCGAGACTTGATCATGCTCGCCTTGGCGGTCTTCAGCATACCAGAAGCTCCATCAAAGTCTTTTCCATAGTGTTCATATTAAAGTTGAAGATGAACTGATGATACAAACCATTTACAAAGTTGAGCATTACGTATATATATCCAACTCTTAAGGAAATGGAACACCTATACACTCAAGCATGTCAATGTACCCCTTTATTTTAAGAATATGGGTAGTGACAGATCCTCCCTCTTGAAGCTTGCACCCTAGAAGAGACCTCATGAAATCGAATCGCTAATGTCTAGCTTTCTTTTGTAACACTTTCTTAAGCTTCTAATTCATGTCGAATGCCCCAAGGTTCTTGATGTTCTTTTGGAGCTCTGAACCATGGCCATCAACATAAGACATGCAACTTGAGTCAAGTGATTACGATGTTTTTCATAATCGACAATCTCTTCAATTATAGCTTCTTCATAAGGCTCCTTAGGTATATCATCATCCAGAACATAATCTTTCTTCTCATACCTAAGGGTGATCTGTAACGAATGAATCCA